AATACATCATATGTGTCATGGATATGTGGATTTTTTTCCACGATATAAGAATCCCCGCTGGTTGGGTAATGGTTATTTCGTTTTAATTAAAAAATTGGAAGCAAGCTTTGAATATTGTAATTTTTCATATATATCACGAATTCTTAATCTAGCACATGCAGTGGCTTATGAAAGAACATTTTGAACTTTGTAACACACCTCCCACGTGTCTAAGGGAATGTTTTTTTTGGCTTTTTGCAACTACCCGGAGGAATTAGTTAAAATATGTATATTTTTAAGTAATGTTTGAAAAAAAAGAATCCCCACGCTTGTGGCTGATGATATGGAGGGTCTTGCCTTCTCTAATGACGTACATCTCATCACATTATCAGCCGAGAGCTGGTTCCCTTTCACAAATTCCCATGCGAAAGAACCCTCTTTAATAGAGCTGAGAAACACGAAGATGAACAGAACAAGCGCAGAGTACCATGAAATTAGCGTGTTCTGCGTAGCCTCAGAATGCATCAGAAATACTGAGCTAGAGAATGAAAGAGAAGGATACCGAGGGAGAAGACGAACACTGTGTTTTGATTTTTGTTCTTTTCTTAATACAGGGGTAATTTGATCCCTACGAATTTTTTCTTCTTTCCGCTCACTGATTTTGTGATTAATTTCTAAACGTAACTGAAATTGTCAATAGTCTAAACATCTTTATTTATTTATTATTATTATTTTTTTTTTTTTTTTTTTGCAAAAAGCCCATGTTGTATAGTAACATCTCACTAAATACCTTTACTATGGTAGGGTGAAAATTACAGCTTTTTTGCAAAAGTAAAGGAACCAAAAATTCTAAATAAATTTTTCACCTTAGTCTAGGAGTGGTAAATGGGTGGATTAGGTTGGGTTGGATAAGGGTTGAATATCAATGCTTGGTAAAGGATCATAACCCACCCTAACCTTGGCTCACCCTAACCCATTCATATTGACCCATTTGACTATATTGACCCTTACACACCCTCACCCATACTGTCCACCTAACCTCACCTATAAATACAAAAACGTACCCCATATGCCAAAAATACCAAAAAAACTTAATAAAAAATGCAAAAAAGGCAGTAAAATTGCAGAAAATTCACAAAAAAATTACAGAAATAACAAAAAATTGCAAACATTATGCAGAAAATACCAGAAAGCTACAAAAAATGCAGAGAAATAACAGAAAATTGCAAAATTTATGTGGACAATAGACATACCAGAAAATTGCATAAATGAAGAAAAATAGCAGAAAATTGCATAAATGTGCAGAAAAATTGCAGACAATACTAAAAAATTTTGTAGAAAAGCACCAGAAAATGCAGAAAAATACCAAAAATTGCAGAAAACATGAGAAAAATACCACAAAATAGCAAAAAATTACAGAAAATACTAAAAATGAAGAAAATTGCAGGAAAATACCAGAAAATATTAGAAAATGCAGAAAATCTCATTCTGTAAATACTGAGATGGTCATCGAATCCTACATTCCCAATATCTTCAACATCAAGTTCAGAAAAACTTTTAAAGAAGATGAGCAATGTCAAAAGATATACCTAGCCAAACTCTCTAGGTTGCTTCAATGGCAAAACCAACAGTGTGGTACTCCCCTTAGAACTGTGAAAAATTTCAATGGCAAGTGGCTTGAAACACTCAATCTGATGACTTGGAACAAAGAAAACCTTAAATGGATCTAATGACTTGGAACAAAGAAACCCTAAAATATCTACTTAAAATTTTAATGGAGGAGCTAACAGAGAGTAGCAACAGCTTCTCTCTTAACCCTCTCCCCTTACCCAAGGTTCAAAGTATATGTATCGTTCCAAGACTCCATCAGACACCCCTACAGTGGGTGTATCAAGGGATCTAACCAATTGAGGGTGGAGCCCTAAACTGCCCCCACCCCGACAAACTGGTTTTGAAAAAACAAAAAAAAAAAGGTAACAATATATCAAAACACCCAATACGCCCCTACCGGGGTATCAAGCACTAATGGGTCATTTGACCCATATAACCCACTGCTGAAATGAGTGGGTATAGGTGGGTTTTGAAGCAGGTGAGTTGAGTGGGTAAGAAGGGTCCGGGTCAAGATTGCCGTCTCTACTCGCTAAATTAGTTGGTCCTATTTTGTACTGTCTGGCAGTAGGCCGAAGTCCTGCAAAATTTTCAACTTTTAAATTTTAATGCACATCAGCATAATGTAAGAAATATCATCTTCATTACGGATATGCTCTACCCGCGATGGACGATGTTTAGGTCTATATTTCTTTTTCCATTTTTATTAGCGGTAACCATATCTGCTTTCAGGTCACTAGGTTCAAATTTTTTCAATGTAACGATGTCTATATGCTCACCCTGGTTGACACAAGTAAAGAAAAATTAAATGCTAAAATCTGCATAATTGTAAAATTTCTAATTATTCATTTTTTTGAATCCACAAGTCATAAAACACAATTCATAAATAAATGCTCAGATTACAACATAGGTAAAATAAAAACTAAGAAAAGTGGAAATACCTAAAATAAAATAGAATTTTAAATCAGACTAAAATGGCTGAACATAAGAAGGTAACCATTAGACCAGGGGAAAATGAACTGTTTTCTAACGTGTGCATCTGCTTTTATGATGATACAATAAAATATAAACTGGGAAGCTATTGTCAACTAAATAAACTAATAAAATTGATTATTTGTTTGGAGTTTTCATGGGTCAAACAGACAATAATGTCTGGGATATGGGCAGTAAAATATTACAATCACATGCCAAAAAAATTGTCACATTTGCTTTTAGAGAACATGTATGATGAGGGCAAAGGTATGATACAGGAAGAGATTTGAAGGTGTTCATCTTTGAAGAGGAAATAAAATATATATTCATGTTATCTTACTTTTAAGTATAAAGCACAAAAAAAAAACAGAAAAATAAGTTGCATCCTGAATCTCTATTAACAAACATAGTTCAATATTGTTTTTGATAAAAAAGGACTTCGATGGAGAAAACCCGTAACAAAGAAATTTAAAAGGAAGCACTAAATAAAAAGATTAGGATGTAGCCGAGGGTTCCAGATGCTGCAAAAATCAAAGAAGCATTTGGGCGTCCTACGAATCATCGGCCAATACATATCAATCTACAAAGGTATTTTAGTGTTAGAGAGTTATCTTATTTTGACTTTCATACCCCTCTGCTGGGACCTTCATTTTTTATTTTACTCGCTCTACTTAAAACAAACAAAAAAACACAAAGAATAAATAATTGCTAGCCAGGTTCCATGTATGAAAACTAGATCTAGATAGAAACCGAAACGATATTAGAACATATACCAAATAAGTTCCGGCGATCCACATTCATGTAGAGACTTTTCGAAGGCAAACTTGGCAGAAAGTGCATATATTTCAAAGCGCTTCCTCCATAGGTCCTTCGGTTCAAATCCAATCAATGTTCTTAGCTGATTTAGCATTCAAAAAAAACAAACAATAAAAACATGAAAGCAAACAGCAAAAGATACTTCAAGTGATGCTCAGTGAATACGAACCAGAAGAGGTATACATCTTGCAGGATTAAAAAAATCCCACAATCCATGATTTCTATGTTGTTTCTCGTCATAGCATCCAAGGTACAAAGTATCAATATGTATCGGCCCGTATCAGCTGATACATATGGTGCCAATGGCTTACAGATATGCCCCTCCAGGGGTTGTATCGGGTCAGATACCGGTTCAGAGGGTAGCCGGGCCTCAAACCAACCCCTCTGAACCGGTTTCAAAAAAAAATAAATAGAACTTAAAAAAGGTACCAACACAGGACGATACACCGGCCTGTGTCGATATTTAGAACCTTGATAGCATCTCTTTGAGGCTGTGTTCGGTTTGATAGATTAAAAAGGGGTAAGCAGAAAGCCGAGGGAAAGTTCTAATTTAACAATTCTGTTAAGAACTTTCTCCCAACTTTCTGTTCGTTTCTTATTTTCTACCAAAAATACAAGAATAGGGAAAATGTGAAGCAGTAAAAGAGGCACTGAGTTGGGGATTTCTTACCACAGGTAACACGTTATAAATTTGTAATTCATAAGTGAAATCTCAGAATGGTCAAACTTTATATTGGCTTCTTTCTATCCACCAAAACCTATTCCTTGAAGATTCATGATTCCATACAGCTTTCCCAACTAGTCCTAGACCATGAATATTTCGTAAGAAGTTATGTACCCCTCCACTAACTGAAAATAACAATAGCCATTAGACAGATCACATAAAGGACAAAGACTTGTCAGGCTACATAACCCTGAATTAATCAAGGATGGAGTGATTGAACTGAGGCACATTTCTTGCATCTCTGAGTACAAAAACTAAAATCATCAATATAAAAAAATATAAGTAGAAAAAAGAACATTTAGTGAGTTTTGGAACTCTCAACTCTATAAGTCATTCTTATTCTTTACCAAGGTATCTTTTTCTACATGACTTTATTACTAATTAAAGGGGACAAACCAGTGAAGCTGCTCGTCTTGCAGCCATAAGGGTCCATCTTTTTTTCAGGACTTTTGCTGGACACCAACATTTGCTGGCTCTAAAGACCTAGAATGCTAGAGCCGAGACTTCCTAGTTTCAGATTTCTGTTTTAGTTGTGGTCTGTGTTGTAGTTTTTTGCTGTTATTGTTGGTTTTTTATCTTGTTGCCACTAGTTTTCCTTGGCTTATTGTTGGTGTTGTGTGCAACCGCTATTGGTTGTTGTTGAATGCTGTTTATCTGGTTTTAATGGGATTTCTGGATTGCCGAAAAAAGGGACAAACTAACCTAAATAAAGAGAACCACTAGAACAACAAAACCATGTACCCATATCGAACACTGACAGTGATACAGACTTGGTTGCACTCTATCAAAGACTACAGTAAAATCCCTCAATCCTACTAAGCCAAAACAGAGAACCAATCTATATATGAATAAGCAATCTGGCTCATATTATGGCATCTCAGAAATCTCTGAAGAAACAGTATACTTGAAAGACGAGAGCTCAAATTCATCAATAACCAAGACAATAATAAAACATCAATCTGCTCAGATTCCGTCATCTGAGCGAACTATCAATTTGGAACACTAACACATAAGAATGCAAAACGAATTAAGAAATCCAGAGCGAACTATCAACATATATAGACTTTTCAAACAGAAATATCAAGACCAAAATGAACTCTCAACACCATCCAAAAATATGGGTTCAGAACCCAATTTAAAATCCTATCATTTAACAAAATGGGAAATCCTACAATCGATATAACAGCTGAGGTAATTTTCTTTTGGCCTCTTACTTAGAACCTGAGTTTGGTAAAGAACCACCTGTTCTTCCCGGTCTTGAACCGCTCCTCTAACCGAGCTTTGACCTCCTTCGCAGCCGTGACCTTCTTGTCGCGAGATTGGAGTGCCTCGAGGTTGACCACGTCCTTGAGATCGACATCGAGGGTGTAGCGAGTCGGCATTATGTGGGTGTAATTCACAAGCTTGACGAAAGCCTTCACTCGGGACTTCTTCGCAGTCTTCTTAGCCGAGTCCTTGCGAATCACCTTCTTCGGATACTTGGCGATCCCGGCGACCAAGCAGTGCCCATAGGGACGGTCTCGGGTTCCCTCGTCGAACGATCGGATGATGACCGCCTTCCGACCGGCGTATCGCCCCTGAAGGACGATGACGGCCTTGTTCGGCTTCAAAAACTTCACCATCTTCGCCGCTGCCGCTCTCCCAACGCTCTCCCTCACTCTCCTGCTCTGCACAATCCAGAAGAGCGAGTCTTATATACCTAGGGTTTCGGCTAGGGCTAAAGAAACTGAAAAATAAATGAGAAATGACCAATTGGCCATCCGGTTCCGGGAAAATTTGGGTTTGGACATTGAATAGGACCGAATCCGAGAGCACTGGCTGAGCTTGGCCAACCCAAGCCCAAACAGTTGAATTTAACAAGCTTAGCTCACAGGCCCAAACCAAAAGCATATCGCGTGCAATTTGTACAGGCCCGACCCAAATTCATCCCAGGTTGCCCGTTGCAACTGTTCAAGTGTACAGGCCCAACCCACCCAAAAGCATGCCAGTTAAACACATGCCATATGGCCGCTACAAATTTCCATTTTTCTCGGCTTTTTTTTTGGAAGCACACTAGGCTGGGACGAAACCGGATCTGCTCCTCACACCTGACGCCTCACACACACATCCTATCATTAGGAGATGTTTCTAATACGTGGCGAGGATGTACTGTAGGGCGTTAGGGGGCAGAGATGTGAACTCTTATTAGCAGGGCCTGATGAAGTTTGATTTAGAGCTGTCAATGGGTCAGATCTGGGGCAAAACTAGAAATTTTTTATGAGGAGCCAAAATCTAAAGTTAATTCGAAGAAGGAAGTAATAAATATAAATGGACTCATAAAGAATCAACCATTGAATGGAGAGTAGTGGAGGAGAAAATTTTACAAGAAAGACTACATTACAAATGGAAATTTCCGGACCATAAGGAGGCTATGTCTCCCCTGACTCCGCCCCTGGGTCAGGTCTATTCCATAAAACCAAACCGAATGAATCGATTATATCAGACTCATAAGTTCTAGTTCTGAGCTTTATATCCCAATAAATAATAATTGGTTGGGATTGCTTTTTTTCTATTCCAAACAGACCCCAACCAAATCTTCTCTTCGCTTTTTTATAATTTTTGTTATGTTTTATGTTTAAAAGGATAAATTTCATAAATAGTATATAAGATCCTTTTGGTTAAAAAGTACTTGTCTTATCAATACATAGACTGTTTACTATTTACTCTCGTTTTTATTTATGAAAAATGAATTTCCCAATTGTTATATTATTGGCAGTTATAGATGTCGAATGTAATAAAGTCTAATCAAATCACACCCAATCATCCCAATAATTAAGCATGGTTCAAAGTATTGTACTCTTAAGTCTTAATACAGATTTAATTCATATAAATTAAAATAATTAAAATCTAAACTCTTACACTCTTTCTCTCTGTCACCTAACTCAATTTAACCTTTGACCCAACCCCTAGTCCCCTATCTTTTAATACAATTTATACATAGGATTTTAAGGCTTTTTTAAGCATCAATTTTAATAGAATACATTGGAACAAAAATTATAAATTAAAATATGAATTTAATACAGGTTTGTTTCTTAAAAGTTTAATGTAATGGGTCCAATCATTTAATTCGGACAATTGAATCGCTAAACCGGAAATCAGTAGTCAAAACGGTTTCATTTTCAAGTTTTTTTTAAATCATGACTTCAATACAGTCACCACTCAAAACCTATCATTGAAGTTTTGTAAGATAAATCCTTGACCACATGGAGATGTGCGAGTATGAAGGGAGAATGCAACCATATTGCTTGAAAACAAAGTCTTTTTACCAAAAAAAAAAGAGAACAAAGTCTTAAAATAAGATGCATCCGTGTTTATATATATATTTAAGCTATAACCCCCACCATTCAGACACATGACCTTTTCATTTTTCTAAAAAGCTAGACACGTGGCATTTTATGAGAAGTTGCTATTAAAACTCTACGTATCATAACAAAAGAAAATTATCCATATTCTAATAATTATTGAAAAGCTATTTTTTGAAATAAATACTTCTTGAAACTTTAATAATTACTTAAAATATTAATAAATATAAATTTAACAAAATTAATTCCATAATATAAATTTAACATTACTGATTCCCTGTACTTAGTACGAGTCATTCACTAGTTGGATAGCAAAGTAAGGATGTTCATTGCAAGTTGAGAACCTCTCTCATATTACCTGTGAGCTTAGCTATATTCTGCTGCGAGCGTGTAGTATTGGATGCCCATTTGCCAGGATTGTCTAGTTCTCTTGTCTCTTCCTTTTTATCAAAAAAAATAAAAATAAAAAATAAAAACTGTGTTCATATTTGCAGAAGAAATGAAGTATGAATTGATGTTATCTTACTCTGTATTTAAAGCACCAAAAAGAGAGAAAAATAAGTTGCATCCTGGATTTCTCTATTAAAAAAAGATAAAATACTTCAACTAATTAACCCTATGTTTTAGCAAATGGACTAAAACTTACCCTATTTTTGAATAATCACTTAAAAGTATTTTAAGTTTTTAACAATTGACAAAATTAACCCCTACCATTAGTGTGTCGTTACAATCCATTTACATGTAATGTCACACACTTTGTATAATTTTTCTTAATTTCAAAACTATCTGTGGTCAATTTTTCCCTTCACTGTTCTTCAAATTTTCAACACAAAACCCAATAGTAAGTCCACTTTTTCTATCTCCTCCACCTCTCTATACTACAACCAATTCGGAATTCAAGGCAAAAAAAAACTGACTGTTTGGGGGCTTCTTTTGTATTGTCCAGTTTGGTGGAAAATCTCGACTACGAATGGTAATGGTACAAGGCAAAGCCGGGTTTTGCATTCCACATCCCCAACCCTAAACTTAAATGCCTTGCCCTGTCCATGCCCTGAACCCCATCAGGGCTAGAAATCCCAATCCCCCAGATTTGCCCCACCCACCCTAATCATTCCCACTTGCATACTTGTAAATTTATTATTTTATTTTTTAAACCTGAGTAGAACTATATTATATTATGTAATATAATATAGGATAATATAATATAATATACAATATTGAATTATAATCTAATATGTATTAACAAATATTAACAATTTTATATATATTATATAATATAATATAATTGGGGCGGGGGGGTAAAGGTTAAGGCGGGGTGGACAAATACCATCCCCACCCGTCCCCGATGCCCAAGACTTCAGGTTTCTCCGAACCCTGCTCCAAAAACCCTAAGGCTGGGGTATAGGTCAAATTGCCATCTCTAATCTTGGCACAAGTTTTGTTTCATCTTCATTTCTTGGCTAATACAGAAATCCGACCAGTTTATGATGTAACAAAAATAGGGGCCTCAAAATTACTAGAAGTTACCCCCATGGTTCTTAAAAGCCATTATTCTTGTTGCTGAACAAATCAAGGAGACCACCTATTGTAGAAGAATCAAAGGTTGTAGTAGAAATGGAAGCCATGGCCTAAGAAAAGACTAAGCTTGAAAAAGAGAAAGTTGTTGCTGTGATCAAATATTTTGTTAAAAGTGTGGAGTTTTATTTCTTTGCAGAGAGTATTAAAAACCTGAAAAAAATATCAAGGATTACAGATATGATGATGGATCCCATATCATGGTTATGAGTTCCATAGACCATGGTTTCTAGAGATGTTCAAATGAATTAGTTTTGAACAAGTAAACCCAAATCTTCAAAATAATCAGAAAAGACCTCTGAAATAGAGATTACAGGTGATGGAAGAGTTCACTCGATAGAGAAATAAAACATAGATTGTTGGTGAAGAAAGAGGTAACTAGAAAAAGAAATACAAGAGAGGAAAGAGAGAATTTTTGTTTTGAAAGTGAGAGAGAGAGAGAAAAAAAAAAGAGAAAACCACCATGAGAAAGAAAACATAGTTGTAAGTCGTAACTGTAATTTTTTCATTTTATTTGTTCAATAATAAAATGTAAAAGCTTATTGGAGAATAGAAAAACCACCAAGACAACAAGTTAATTGTTTAAACAAAACCTCACCACTAATGCATCAGCAAGCAAGAAATTTGAACTCATCAAAGAGATTAACCTTTGCTCTTGAGCAGAGCAAGATTGGGCCCCAAGGAAATTAGTCTGAATCTGGTTCAGAGTCCATGAAACATCCTTAATTTCATGTCTGAAAATGAAGTACCAAGCTATAGCAAGCTGATGTAACGGTTTTTGGTCATGTATCATTTTTTCGTGATGTGTCAATTTTTTGGCTGAGTATCTCGTCATCTCGTATGCTCCCAAGTGGCCTGTGACTCAGAGGTTGAAGTGGAGCTCCCTGGTGGTGAACAACCTTGATGAGCTGCTTGGAGATGAGCTACCTTGATGAGCTGCCTGGTGGTGAGCTACCTTGATGAGCTACTTGGTGGTGAGCTACCTTGATGAGTTGCCTGGTGGTGAGCTACCTTGATGAGCTGCTTGGAGGTGAGCTACCTTGATGAGCTGCCTGGTGGTGAGCTACCTTGATGAACTACTTGGAGGTGAGCTACCTTGATGAGCTGCCTAGTGGTGAGCTACCTTGATGGGCTGCTTGGAGGTGAGCTACCTTGATGAGCTGCTTGGTGGTGAGCTACCTTGATGAGCTGCCTGGTGGTGAGCTACCTTGATGAGCTGCTTGGTGGTGAGCTACCTTGATGAGCTTTGTTGCTCTTTTAGAGGCCTGCAAGGAACCAAATGTCAGAGGACCCGGGGTGGCTAACCCGGCAAGGTCACTCCGATGCCTGAGTTAGCACTTAGTAGAGAGCTAAGAATGATATTAGAGAATGAAAGAACTAGAGAGCAGAGGTTACCCATCCTTTTTCGCCCCTAGGGGTGAGGTCTTTATATATTGGATTCCTCGTGGGTTAGGTGGAACAGTTCCTAGATTCCCGCTGTGATGGGACCTGCTTTCGTGTTAGGTGGGGATAAAGCCACCAACTGGTAAGGTTGCCCATTTCCACCTGACTTGGGGAGTGGGTGAGCTAATATAGCCATTACTAGTCACAATCCCGTAAAATGCAGGGTACAGTGGTGAGCTCCTCAGGGTTGTCAGGTTGGCTCCTGAGTCAGGCCGCCATGTTGCACCTGGGCCAGGTCGCGTCAGGGCCAAGCTACCAGCTCGTGCCAGGGCCAAGCTGCCAGCTCATGCCAGGGCCAGGCCACCAGGTCGCGCCTGTG